TTCTCTTCCATGAACTGCTCCCATCTCCTTTGGAACCAGGGAAGACTTTCTGCATCTACTGCATCCCTCAGTAAGGAGACTGCACAAAGAGTCACCCTCTTCTGTCTCTGCTGAATCTAGCTCCTACTGCTTTTGTCAGATGTCCTTCAATTCTTGTACTGGAAGAAGCGATGAACAATCGGTCCCTAACCACTGTTTCCCATCACGGAGGATTTTGACACTCTTTACAGATCCTTCCCTCTGTCATCTCTCTTCTAGGCTGAAGGGTTGTAGCTGTGTTGAAGGATGCAGAAAAGAGGGACCAAAGTTGCACTGAGGTGTCCATTGCTTCCCTGGTGATTCCTCACGTTTCAGCAGCTTTTTTTCACAGCTTGCGAACACTGAATGGATTTTTTGGGGGATCATATATAGCTCTAAAATTTGAGTCCTGAATAGTAATGCTCAGAGTCCATCATGCCATAAGAAAAGACAGGATTATCTCTCCCCAGGCATGTTACTTTACACTTATTGCCACTCGAGTTCATCCGCCATTTTATTGTGCTCTCCCTCCATTTCTTACAGTCCTTGGGCAGTTTTTCACAGTTAGCTCACAGCACTGACACTCTAAATAATTCAGCCTTCTCAGCAAATCTTGTCACCCTATTGTTCAGCCTTTTCCATGCCACACTAGCACATCCTACCTTTATCCTCTTATTCCATGCCTGTTTAGTTTCCTTAAAAGCTTTTGGTCAGGAACTTTGTCAAAGGCCTTTTGGAAATTGTAGACTATGTCAACTGGATCATGTTTACACACATGCTTGTTGACCTTCTCCTTTGAAGAACTCCAGAGATTTCTGAGAATCGTGATTTCCTTTACAAAAGCAATCTCGAATCCTCCCATATATATCACATTTATACATCCATTCCGATACGCCGCTGCTATTGCAGTTTCCAGTAACTGGTGTGGTGTAACGCATCAGGCTGGCAGGCCTGGTTGCCCAGCTCTCCCTGGGACCTATTTTAAAAACTGTCATTGCATTTGCCACTCAGTTACCAATCAGGCACAAAGCAAAAGGTTGCTCACTGCCATCACTAATCTGGCTATTTTCACTGTCCTAATGTTCTCTTCAATTTCAGAGAGATTCTCTGATGATTACCTCCACAAAGTAAGATTTTGGTGTGGGAATGTCCCTGGTTTCTTCCACTATGAACACTGAATGTGAAAAAAATATTTTTAGGTTGTTAGCAACAGCCTTATCTTGGCTGAGCATTTCTGTTGTGTCTTGATCATCTGTTGGCCTTACAGGCTTCTTGCTCTGATGTGAAGAAAGATTGCCTGCTGGTTTTGATTCCTTTGCAAAGCACCCCTTAAACCTTTTTTTAGCCTCAATTCTGCACTTTCACATTTAATCTGCCAGAGTTTATGATCTTTTCTGTTTTCTTCATTTGCACACAGACATCAGGTTTTCAAAGGACATCTTCTTGCTTTTCGCATCCCCTCTGACCCTGCCGCGTAGTCTCACAAACTTCCTTTGGCAGTCCGCGGTCCTGCCATACCATCTTTCTTTGCAAGGACGGGGCAGATGAGACCCTGCTCTTACAGTTTGGCATTCACTGCACAGGTAGCCTCATGCCTGTCATGCAGAGGCGCAAGAGAACTGCCTGGAAGTTTCAAAGACAAACCTTCCTGATTTAAGGTGGACCTGAAAGAGCAGAGAAAATGCATGCTGTGATGTTCCTGATAATCTACACAACTTACGTAGGCTTTAAATTTTGGGATGATAGAGGACTCGTAATTCTTTACAGAAAAGAAAACTACTTTGTGAGAACCGGCTTCATAAACTGTGTAAAATCTAAAAGGTGACAAGAGATGCAAAGAAAAGACACGTAAGATTACAGTTCTATCTAACTGCTTACCAGAAACGGGGTGCAGAAATATGCTGCTCACCTTAGCAGAGGTTAATTGCTATGTATAGGACTGAATTTCTGGGACATGTAAAGCCATAATAATATCACACAAGGTTAAAAAAAGATAATAAATATATTTGATTGCACTTTAATTTTAATCCGTGATTTATTTTAGTAGATCATATCAAACTCAAAGGCCTTCAAACTACTATCTTCCTCTTCAGTCCTTACAGCATAACCGTAGTTGCTACTGAAAGGCCACAGAGAAGTTAAAGAAAGGACACAGCAAGTCTTCTACCTGTGTTTATGAAATATGAGGACAAATCTTCCTGTTACAGTCATACCTGAGCCTCCTACTCATGTGAATTAGTGTCCTACTGCAAACTCATTACCTTCATCTAGTCTATATTTTAAAAATTCAATTCAGCACTATCTGCCTCATATCTTCTATATGAGAAGTACATACATTTAAAGACTATCTGGAAAGGGCTTTTTACACACACCACACACACACAAGCCCCTAAATAAAAGATATTTCCAAGTGTAATTTTCCAGTACCACTTCGTCTCATAAAGTGATAATGTCTTTCTTTGCAATATACTTCTGCCTGGTTGTAATCCCACAGATCTTTAAAGTTAAATATAGTTATTAACCTTGAAAATTTTGCTTGTTTATCAGTCTACCAAACTTCTGATGCTACAGCATTCAACACTTTCTTAATTATATTAAAGAATGCTTTTGTATAAGGTTCTCCTTCAGAGGTGGAACATTCCTGCCAAAATAGTTCATCCGGTATTGAAATCTGAGACAAAATTATTCATCCAGGAAGCAAAAATTTAAAAAACAGTAGTGTCTAGCTTCGAGGTACACCATACTTCAAAAATCAAATAAAAGTTGCTGGTTTGTGAATTCTCTGAGCTGTTACAAAAAAACCTGCTGTTAATATATATAAATATGTATTTTGAAATATTGATACAAGCTTTTACTTAGGCTACATAATGTTTGTAATAATTTTAAATGCTCCTGTTCAAAATCTTTAGATTTCTTTCAGAGCGTGCAGTGATGGTACATGACAAGACATTCCTCACATTCAGGATTCCTGGCAGTTAGCATAGAACTGACTGAACCTACTGTGCAGTATCATAAAATCACAGAATGGTTTGAGTTGGAAGGGACCTTAAAGATCACCTAGTTCCAACCTCCTGCCGTGGGCAGGGACACCCTCCACTACACCAGGTTGCTCGAAGCCTCATCCAACCTGGCCTTGAACACTTCCAGGGATGGGGCAGCCACAACTTCTTTGGGCAACCAGTTCCAGTGCCTCACCGCCCTCATTGTAAAACATCTCTTCTTTATATCTAATATAAATCTACCCTCTTCTAGTTTAAAACTGTTGCCCCTTCCCTGTTGCTACCGGCCCTGGTGAAAAGCGTCTCTCCGTCTTTCTGATACCTGTTCACTTTCACTAGCAGTAATAACAGCTTTGGGCAGACAGTCAAGAGCCAAACAGTTTCCACTAGTTTGAAAATGCATTCAGAAGAATTGAAGAAATATTTTAAAGGAAGGGGTTCAGGCACTAAAGAGTGTGTTTTCATAATGGTACTGTTTCAATGACAAAAGTTTTGAAAAAAAGTCTCAGCCACATGAAGTCGCATGGTCTTACTGCCCACCCAGTCTTCAGTGTAGACAATACACTCTATCTGGGCGACCTTTAATGTATCTCAACACCCTTACAGTACTTGAACATTTTTAACGTTCCGTTACCTGGTTTTATGCCAAAGTTATTCACTCATTTATCCAAGACAACTCTGAATGCTCAAATCTAAGAGCAGAACACACGTGTTTTATGGGGCCTGCATCTCCCTGCAAAACAAGCAGAAATCTTTCTCCTGTTGTGCTGCTCAACCTGGAACAAGCAGCCAAGCGTCTGGTGTGAAACAAACTGAACACTGAATCTTTTAGAAGATGAAAGGAGCGCTTCCAGATTCCCAGCTGACAGAACCACTTGCATTGTGACTACAGGTGCAAGGCTGCCAACGCCTCCGAAACACCGTTTTGTCGGATGCAGTACGGGGATTATTTGCACTGAGTACTTTTTTCTCTCCAGTACTTGTGACATAGAAGCAGCGTAATGTAGTATGAACAAGGAACTGGAGCGACTGGCAACAGGGGCAGAGTGTCCCCCGTGTGGGCTGGCGTCAGTGGAAAAAGTTGTTTTTTGAATGACAGTAATGAAGACGGGAAACATGAGTGTGGTTCTCATGGAATTAAGACAAAACTTCAGCAGGTTCTAGACATCAAATGTTTCTATCAGTACTTCTCTCTTAATAGCAGAGTACGCAACTTTGCAACTGTTCCACTACTTTACAAATTCTCTTACAGTATATATGTGATGGGCCTGCCCACAGAGATACAGAAGTCACAAGACAATTAATTTTATCATTATCTCTCTTCTTGCATGCTTATAAACAATGGAGGACACTACTGAAAAGCAGGCAGAAACAGCTAAGGCACGTGAATATGGTTGTAGACCTGCTTCCTTATAAGCTAACATCAGATAAAATTTTTATTCACTAATACTTGCATAAGAATTCAAAGTGTACCATTTGCATCTTGCTCATAGAGTACTTTTGCAACGTAAAATACAGCACAGTTATAAATGCCTCCTAAACTCATTTAGACATTAGTTTAAACTTCTAATAGTATTTTAATTGATGAATACGTGACCCATGGATCTGGAACTCTTGAAGCATCAGAGCTATTCTTTACCGCTCGCTGGCACGTTTGCAGCATATCATGTCTCCTCATTTCAACCTCCTGACACCTTCCATTCAACAGAAATGAGGACATTTTTCACCACTCTAAATAAACTGAACAAAACTAAACTAAATACTGAGTGTTTACACCGCTCCAGTTTGTTTTCCTTGAACCATACTTCACAAAAACTGTGATGCTGTTAGGTAACAACTAACTACAATATTTTCATATGCTTATGCAAATATGCACTATATAAAATTCAATAAAATATGAAAACACTGTGGCTGTTGTAAATTCAGTCTTTGACAGACACACACCAAATAACGACTGAGCTCTGTGCTATGGGTTATACTCACATCAGCGTAATGCCCCTTCATATCGCAGCGATTGCAGTGTTTATTCCAATAGGCTCTCTCCAGGCATTCCCTGAAACAGTGGCCAGGCAAACAGCAGTTCAGACAAAAACGTGCTGGGCAACTGTTTTGCAGATGACCCCTTCCTGCACACAGGCAACAGGGGGGGACTTTCTACAGAGAAATAAAAAGAGAATTATGTTAAGTGAGAATGTTTCAAAAGATAAAAGAAAAGAAAAAACAAATCAAAAGAGGAAATGAAGAAGAAACCAAATAAATGGTCTACTGGTTACTAGCAACTGCAGAGATGCTACGTTTCATCACGGAATCAAAGTGAAGGAAGGCCATGAATAGAGTAAAACTTGAAGTTGTAACTCCACAGACCCCCTGTACTTTGTTGATTTGGACCTTGCATCAGAAGCACTTGTTGAATGACCAGTGCTGATCTTACATGCTCAGTGAATACAGAAAAAATATTAATTAAACTGGAAAGTATATTCCACTCAGAGCAGGAGTGCTGGGCACCCTGTATGAACACTAGTTTTTTTATTACATTTCTTAAAAGCTGAAAAACAGAACTGTATCACAGGAACGTGATGTACAGTACGTAACACAACATACTGCACTGGTTTGTAAGTATGGTCTGTGCCATAGACCACTGCACTGGCTCTGGTTGAGAGAGGGTTAATTTTCTTCACAGCAGCCCTGTGGGGCTGTGTTTGAGATGACACACGGAGGTCTGGCCACTGCTCAGGGCTTCCTCTTGTTCCCAGTCGGACTCCCAGCAGGCAGGCTGGGGTGGGCCAGAGGCTGGTGGGGACAGAGCCGGATGGCTGACCCCAGCTGACTGAAGGGGTACCTGCAGCACGTGGCATCGCGCTCAGTAACAGAGCTGGGGGGAGAGAGCTTTTCCACTGCAGCTCTTGCTCGGGGACGGGCTGGGCATCAGTCTGATGTGGTGAGTGATGGCTTCTGCATCACTGTTTTTTTTCTTTTCTCTTAGCAAACTGTCTTTATCGCGACCCATGAGTTTTTCTTGCTTTTGACCTCCAAATTCTCTCCCCCCCACCAGGGTGTGCGTCAGCGAGTGGCTCCGGGGGGGGGACCCCGCCCAGCCACCCCGCCACAGCCACTTGGCTACATACCTTGTGACTCACAAATAAGCACATGGACCAACGAATATGAAAAGCTGAACATTATTCTGGGGCCATCGCTGTACCTCTTTAAAGTCAGTTTTCCCAGTGAGTGAGTGTATCTTCACCCCACGGGCTGATCATAGAATCATAGAATCATAGAAT